GTCCAAAGTGTGTTGTATGTGGTGAAGTCATTGCAAACGATTGATTAAATGTAAGAAATCTGAAGAGGAATTTAAGAACAAGACATTCGCCTCTTGCGATTAAATCACTAGAATTCTTTGAACCAACGTTGCTAACATGATGAAAATAGCGAGAACTAGAGTTATTTACACAAAACAATTCTGGAATCATATCTAACTGCTAATTATTAAAGTCTCATGCCCCTGGAGGAACACTGCTACTACCGGCGAACATCAAAATGTGTGAAAAATACTGCCACTCATTTAACAAAGAAGTTCCTCTTGAATTAAACACATGATGCGATGTCAGTAGACATCAAAGAACATTGGATAACTCGGGTTAAATGTAATTCAAAATTTGCACTTCAAATATACTAATTAAACAATGCTGAAGGTTTATCTCAGCTACTCTGTTTGTCAGATTGTGCTCTGAAAAAATGTTTATGAAGATTTCGAGTTCTGTCGATCGATCACGAAATGAAATTATGTGATCAAAGCTGGCGACATTATGGTTGCAGCCGCGCTCATAGAACGAGACTATCGTTTTATATTTTTTTCAAAGAATAAGTATGGATGGTGACAGTTTATAAATGCGTCTACAAATTTTATTAAAATTGTTCATCTTTGAAATAACCAGAAACATTTAGTCACGACGCGAAGATTTTGGGTTATAAGAACAAATACCTGAAACTTCATTCTTCGCTGACGTCATTTAGAACATAACAATTCACTAAAATTTGGTCAGTAACTTTCAATTTAAATGTCGGATGGTTTCACAATTCAAGTGAAAGCATTTTATAAGCAGACACGCGGCATATGGACACTTCACAATTCGTGCATTTTCTAATTATTATTTTCTGCATTCTGTTTCTGTAGTTTCGAAGCTTCAAACGGTATCAAGATTGAAGAATCTGGCTTCGTGAAACCTGCGATCGACGTACGTAGCGGCTTAGGGGCAGACAAAAATGATGAAAATGCCGGCGACATTCAAGTCATTCAAGGCTCTTTCTCGTACACTGCACCAGACGGCAGCCCAATCAGTCTCAGGTGAGACGATGTGTTGTCAAAAGAAGGTGGAAAGCGCAATGTTTCGTGTTGCATTTATTGACAAAAAAAATTAAACACTCAGTCGTAGTGCAAAACAGAATTAGTCCATTACAAAAGATTATACTTAATGTTTGGAATGCACACTACCTCATTTTAGTTTTTAAAAAAGGGAATTTACGAAATTTCGTCTTAGCAAGTACATTTATGTTGGTTGCTTAATCTCTAATCTGGAAGGAATGACAAATTCAAAGCTTTGTAAACAAAATTATAAAGAGCTGTACTTTGTTCTAACCTGTGCTGGGCCACATTTGTCACAATTTCCCAAAGTTCCCAAAGGATAATAAAATACAATTATCGCTCCTTCTACATTAATTTTTATTAGTCAATAATAAGCATGCAATCATGTCGTGTGTATGGCTGTAAAGTTAGTGACATACTGTGAGGTACATCTTGATATTATTTAAGTGTAATTAGTATAACCCAGAGAAGTTGATAGAGCATCTTAAGACAAACAAATGACACATTAAGGAGAGTTGTCCATTAGGTAAAATGATACTGCTTAATGACACTGTTAACATTGGTATCTCTTGTGTTCCTTCAGGTACATCGCTGACGAAACAGGATTTCACCCAGAAGGCGCTCATCTTCCGACACCGCCGCCTATACCCATCGCCATTCAGAGGGCGCTGAGCGTCCTACCTGACACAACTTCAGAACAACCGTCTTCATAGCCACTTCTCAAAATCTGTAAATTTTTTTTGTGTTTCTCTATTTTATCAATGACATTATCATCAATTTACAAATTTTTCCCAGAGTTTAATTTGAGTCTTGTAATAAAAATTATATTTATTTCTTAATCAAACTTATAACTGATAAGACGAAGCAGAATCATAATTTTTAGTATTCATCTTTATGATAATAAATTCACTATTGAAGATTATTGTCGGTAACCGGCGGTGGTAATTGATTTAATAAGTTATGTGTTCTGAAATTTTAATCGATTATTTAAATGCTGTCAGAAACTATGTGGTAATGTCATAAAAATACACTGTATTTATCCCGGTAAGTTGGCTGGCAATTCTATACTGCTCAGCGCCTTTGATAATAAATTCTATTACAAGGTAATATTGTTGTATTCTTCATGACTACTGTTGAATTTGTTACAGTTGTGAACAATAAAATGAAGTTACGACTTAAATTTAATTATTTTACAACTTATGATAATAGTCTACACAGACATTTATTTATAGAAATATGTAGACAAATTAGTTACTCCCTGAGATGTACGACATTCAATATGTTACGTTACCATTAAGTA